TCCCTTCCGACCCGAGAAACTATGAAACTATGAAAACGCAGACAGGTTACCTGGAGTTTTTGGGTGGTAGGCAGGTTATAATGTGTATATATTTCAATTCAATGTCTATATTTACTCCATGATTTTTTTGTATCCACTGGATTTATCAAGTGAAATTCGTAGGCTCATGTATGAAAGTTGTTTTGTAAATTTCCTTTGAGGCTTAGAACTGAGAGATTAGAGAGAGAGTGGCTGTCTTGTGAGAAGTGTGCACCCAAAGGTAATTGGGTATTTTTGTCTTTGATAGATTTTCGTTGTGCGTTCATTTTGGTATGCAGTTGTTGTTTGGTTTCTCTTAGATATTTTCTATCAGGGCACTTAGTGCACTGGATGAGATGTATTACTTTTCTGGAGGTGCAAGTGCAAGATCCAGAAATGGCGATGGTTCCATTGTGGGGGTAGTTATTGAGGGAATTCAATTCACTTAGCTAGCTCATTTCTCCCTTTATTTCTCTTTTTCACAGATAAGATGTTGAAAAAAATTAAACCAAGCAGGATGACAGAAAACATTTGGAGAATCTGGATCATCTACACAGTCATTATTGCAAAGGTTTCAGAAGAAAGAGCCACAAAGCAGGTTTGTCCTTTGTGTGATGCTGCTCATTTTTGTGACTGTTCTTCCTTGGGGCTGAACACCATTCCTTCAGGGATAACAAGTGAAATCACAGGACTGAAACTGACCCACAACAAAATAGAACATATCAGTGAAAATGACCTGAGGTCAGGCGTGAACCTCCGTGTGCTGTTGCTGCAATCAAATCAAATTTGGACAATAGACGAGGATTCATTTCACTCCCTTGGAAAACTGGAGCATTTGGATTTATCCAATAATAACTTGACTCGCTTGTCACCTACTTGGTTCAGGGACTTTGTTTCCTTACAGCACCTGGACATACGGGGTAATTTCTATGCAGAACTTGGAGAAGGGGCCCTGTTTTTAAATCTTAAAAATCTGAGAAATTTGCACCTTGGGAATAAAGATCGCTTCCTTGCTATACGGCAGCAGGACTTTGAAGGAATTACTGTTCTTGAGCAACTTGAAATTCAGGGGGAAAAGCTCCATTGGTATGAGCAGGGAAGTTTGAAATCCATTAGGAACATAAATCACATAATCATAAATGTAAGAGGTATTTCTGTGCTATCATCAATTCTGGGGGATCTTGTAAATTCTGTAATCTGCTTAGAACTGAGAAATATAGCTTTCAGGACAGAAAATGAAACTATGTTACTGAATATAATGATTCCTTCTGTTATGAAGAAACTCCTGTTTAGAAATGTTTTGCTTACAGATGAAAGCATCCCTAGTATGATGGGCATCATGGCGAACATGAGACAATTGGTAGAGCTGGAGGCAGAAGACTGTACGTTGCAGGGGACTGGACAGTGGTCTGAACAAGGTCCTGCAGACAAATCATTCCCTGTTAAAGTACTGACAATATGGAATGTATCCATCGAAACATTTTATTTATTTACAGATCTTTATGCTGTGTTAAATCTTATAGGTAACCTTACGAAGGTCACTGTTGGCAATACTAAGGTCTTCTTGGTTCCTTGCCTCATTTCAAAACGTTTGCTTTCACTGGAGTATCTTGACCTTAGTGACAACTTGCTTTCAGATCCCGCTTTGGGGCATTCAGCATGTATGGGCGCTTGGCCTGTTCTGAACACTTTAAATTTAAGTCAGAATTCCTTGAGCAATTTAAAGATGACTGGAAAAAGTTTAGCTCACCTACAGAAACTAGCACAACTAGACATTAGCCAGAATAATTTTGGACAAATGCCAGAAGTATGTGACTGGCCGGAAAACCTGAAATATTTAAATTTATCAGGCACTCAAATCCCCAAGCTAACAGGTTGCATTCCTCCAACTCTTGAAGTTTTGGATGTTAGTAGCAACAACCTGATTGAATTTAGAATAGAGCTCCCACTTCTCCGAGAGCTATACATTGCCCAAAACAAATTAAAGGCCTTGCCGGATGCTGCACTACTTCCTAATATAGTGGCTCTGACAATCACAAGAAATAAATTAAACAGTTTTTCCAAGGAAGAACACAAATCCTTTAAGAACATGAAGAGGCTGGAGGCTGGGGACAATAATTTCATCTGCTCTTGTGAATTTCTCTCCTTCATTCAGTCTGAGGCAGGAATAGCCAATGTCTTGGCTGACTGGCCAGAAAACTACATTTGTGACTCTCCATCTGCTGTGAGAGGGAAGCAAGTGGAAGCTGCTCAGCTTTCGCTGATGGAATGCCACCAAACACTGGTGGTGTCCTCAATCTGCATTCTGCTGCTCCTACTCATCCTGCTCGTTGTGATTGTGGGGTACAAGCTGCATGCATTCTGGTATATGAAAATGACTTGGTCTTGGCTTCAAGCAAAAAGGAAGCCACAGAAAGTGCAAACAAAGGACATCTGCTATGATGCTTTTGTTTCCTACAGTGAGAGAGACTCTGAGTGGGTTGAAAACTTAATGGTACAGGAACTGGAGTACGCCAACCCCCCTCTGAAACTGTGTCTTCACAAACGGGATTTTATGCCTGGGAAGTGGATAGTTGATAACATCATTGACTCCATTGAGAAGAGTCATAAGACGCTGTTTGTGCTGTCAGAGCACTTTGTGCAGAGCGAGTGGTGCAAGTATGAGCTGGACTTCTCCCACTTCCGCCTCTTTGATGAGAACAATGATACAGCTATTCTGATTCTTTTAGAGCCCATTCAAGGAAAGGCGATTCCCAAAAGGTTCTGCAATCTGAGGAAATTAATGAACACAAAGACCTACCTGGAATGGCCTCTTGAGGAAGTGCAGCAGCAAGTATTTTGGAGTAAGTTAAAAGAGGCCTTAACGTCGTAGGAAAGTTAATTTAAGACCACTATAGTAGCACTCCTGCACTGGCCTTCCACCTAGAATATGGGGCAGGCCCTTTTCCTGATAAGGACTTATTTATTGTTATTCCATACAGAGAATTTGCCTGTACATTAAACTAATTATATCTTTGTTAAATGGAATATACCGGCTGAGACTGTGACTGCCAGAGAAATTCTTTGGTCTTCTGCATTTTCTGTTAATAACTGGGATGTAGGTAAGGTGTCTATATCTTCAGTAACATCATTACATTACATAACATCATCTATCAGTAACATCAGCAATATCTTCAGTAATACTTTTGGGAATAATTTTTGCTTAATTCAGGTATCTTTCTGTAGCTATGTCTACCCCCTTTGCTGAACTATTTCAAAACAAATGTTACTGGTCTTCTCTCTCTTATAAAAGAAATAAAGCCAACATGCTGAAAAATACCTCAAGGTCTGTTGGTTGCATCCTGTTTTAGTTGTCTTAGATACCCTAAGAGCATTTGCTGTCATTTGACAAGAACACAGTAAAAGAGTATTATTTGTTTGCATGAAAATAAGATTCTTTCAGCTGATGCCTTGAAAAGATTGTAGCAAAACCCCCAGTTTCTGTTGTTTTTTATTTTATTTAAAACTGCATTCCCTCCCCTTCCCCAAGCATTTCTGACTTTTTCTCTCTCTCTATTCCCTATAAATAAGTATAAGTGAGTTAAGACATAGGATAAGCTTCAGCATTTTATTTTGGTAGCATGTTGTATTTGTTTTGTTTTTTCTCCTTCTTTATATTGTATAATTATTATATGTATATTGATTTTTACTGTTCTATATTACTGTTTTACTGATACTATATGATTTAGGCCTATCTATGTAAGTTAGCATAAGTCATGTCAAGTTTCCATTTTGTTTGTCAAGTCTCCATGTTGTCCCCATGCCCAGTTATGTAACTTATGACTCGCACCTACCCCTCCTATGTAACTTGGTTCCTGAATGAATGGGGATGAATGCGGGTGCTTGAGAGGCAACGGCAGTAGGTCTGCTCCCTCTGAATGACCGAACCATCAAAACCAATACCTGGACCAACGACTCAGCCATTGGAACCACCCTCAGCAACCAAGAAACAAAAGATGAGGCAACACCATCATGCCAAGGCTGCACATGCTCAGTAAGAACACCTGGAGCCCTCTGGAACAGGACTGAACTTGCCTGGACAGGCCCTCTCCATAGGAGATCACAAGTAGTCTGCCCCATAAAAAGGGGTAGCGAAGACTGACTCCTGGGGACGCTCTCTCCATCTGGACCAGCACCATGCCACACCACCTATCTACCCAGAGGCCCTGCCAGCGACCACCCCCCCTCTGGACAACACCTGCTGGACAAAGACCCCTTTTCAGCCTGGATAGGTAGCTATCACCCCCCCACCCTCTCTTCAACCAAGGACTTGGACTCTGTTTCTCTTCCCTACCTGGACTCCAACCCTTCCACTGAGTCTCTTTCTCCTGCTGCCATTGAGTGTGTGTGTAGGAACCAAGCTGTACAGTACAGTCTTCATTTAGTAAAACTGGTGTTTGGACCCCTAAGTTGTGTTCTGCTTTACTACGGTTCCAGCCCTGCTCCAGTCTCTGCTCCTTGCCCCTCTAACTTCTGTCTCATTTCTCCCTCTTCTGCTTCTGGCTCACCGCCACCTCTAACACCTGTCCCATGCTCTTGTGGCTCCAGCAGTCCTGAGCTCCTCTCTGCCTTCAAACCCCTGTTTCTTTCCCACTGTCTCATCCCCACTGCCTTTTCCCCTGATCTCCCAGCTTTTTGCCTCTATCTCCTGGCTGTTTCCTCCTTGCCACTGGGCTTTTTCCCTTGCTTCCACCCTGGCACCAGGTGAGCCTGACCTTAAGTAAACCCAAGCCTCAGTTCCTCAGCCAGCTTCTCTCTAGTTCTAATCCCAGTTCCGGCAACTTTCACTCCCTACACTTTAACTCTCTCTTTCACTTAACCTTCCCCCAAGTATCCCAGGTACCTCAAGCACACACACATACACACCACACCATCCAAGTTAGGAACTTACTTGTATGTATGTGTGGGTGGATTGTATGTGTGTGAACTGGTGTGTGTGTGTATATGTATATATGTCATTATGTGCATGATATACGAATTAGTAATCTGTGTATGTGTACTGTGTGTGTGGGTATTGACCATTGATTTTTTGTCTAACTTTTGGCATGTATAGCGTGTAGGTGCTTGAATTGGTAATAAGTGTGCATGTGCCTAGGCCGGTAATTTTGGGTGTGTATGTGCCTGAGTTGGTAGTGTGTGTATGTACGCCTGGTGGGGGTGTATGCACCTAGAGTATGTGTATGTGCCTAGTGTGTGTGTGTGTATGCACCTAATTGATTTTTGAGTGTGTGCATGTGCAATTGTACCCCACGCCTTCCTGTCTAACAGCGCAATATTTAGATCCTGAGTGTTGGCCTGACCCCACAGGGCAACAAGATAATGTGTAATTATAGTCAAATGAAAAGATTTACAATAAGATTATATTTGGTGTAGTTAATTGAGAATGCAACAATGTGAGAAATACTTGGAATAATGTGTATGGTGTGAAATCTCAAGAGGAAAGTTTCTGGACCCCAGAGTCACAGGATTACTGTGGGAAAGTAGCTTAGAGATTTGTGTACTTTATTCATTTCCTCTCTCTTATTTATGTGGTCCTAGATGCGGTAAAAGCACAGAAGATGATCCAGTTTCTGTTCCTAATACACTCTCAGGCACTCACAGTATAAAAGCAAACTACATATGGGCAATGTAAGGCTTGTTGAATTTACTTCTCCCTTTTCCCATGTTCTCTAGCCCAGTGGGGGCCAACCTTTTTGTCCCTAGATACACAAATTACCCTGTACTCACCCTGAGTGCCACTCCAATGCCATCCACAGAGGCGGCCTATGCCATTTGTGGCACTCATGTTGCAGGTTGACCACCACTACTCTAGTCTTCCTGATCAATAGTGCCCTAATATCACCCACATTCCTGTCTGCCTATCCCACTAAGATAGGAAAGGCTATTCATAGTTGACTGTCATGAGGAAGTTGAACCACTGCTAGACTTATGGGTAGATACATTGTAGTGATGCTAAAATTGGCTTGTACCAGTGAAGCTTACCTCCGTTAGAATCCTGGAAGAACCCCAAATTAGTGGATGCTTCTGCAAATTTAAGTCTTAACCTTTCTGCGTTTCATTTCATCACATTTGCTAAATGGGGATATAGTACTGCCCTGTTTCCTAGGAGAGCTGTGAATATAAATTCCTCAATGTTTGTGAGGCACTTGGGTACCATGGCCTAGATTCACAAGAGGGTCTTAAATATCCTTTAAATACTCAGTCCAATGTAGTCGCTACTGATTTCTCCCCCACTGACCAGGGATGTCTTTACATGTATTCTGGGGGCAAGAGGAGGGGTGCTTTAATTAGACCAGCTCCGAGGACCACTTGAATTAAAGCGCTTACAGCGCCTCATGTGTTCAGCATCCCGCACTTCAAAATGGCAGTACAGGCACTTTAACTAAAACTCGTTAGATGAGCTTTAGTTTAAGTCCCCTTACTGCCATTTTGAAGCACAGGGATGCTAAATACACAAGCTACGGAGGCTGCTGGAGTGCAGTCATTACTACGCTCCAGCAGACTCGATTAATTGAGTCTGCTCTGACCCACAGTAGTTACAGTGGGTCAGAGCAGCATTCCCACATGTCTACTTCTGTAGGTACTTACATTTCTTCAGCACCTAAGTTTTCTCCAGTAAAATTCCCATGGCACCAACATTTCCACTCTTGGCATGTGTGCAGCTATGTGAACCTGCTTGGCCTCTGTCTCTTGTCTAAACCCTGGTGGGATTCACAAACCAGATATTCCCACTCCATTTCATGCCAGCAGTGCAGAGCACTTACCCAGTAGAAGACTATGTTTCAAATCCTTTCCATGCCTCTTTGAATGTAGGTCCCCTATGACTTGTGAGAGTATCCTAACTCATGGATAATTCTTTCATGTTCATAGAAGCACCTGGAGAGTCTAATCCAGGGGCGGGCAATTATTTTGGGTGGAGGCCCACTTACTGAGTTTTGGCAAGCCATTGAGGGCCACATGATAGGCATCCAGGGGCATATAAATATAAATTTTCTAAATTTTTTAGGGGCCCCGCAGGCCAGATAGAATGGCCTGGTGGGCCATATCTGGCCCCTAGGCTGCATTTTGCCCACTCCTGGTCTAATCCAACCTCTGTACAAACATAGGGTGTAAACCAGCAGAGACAAATACATGCCCTGCCTCTTCTTGAAACCTCCCAGAAAGGAAGTTCCACAGCTTCCTTGGGCTAGTTACTGCATTGTCCTCCTGCTCTTGCAGTTTTCCTGAGATTTATGCTAAACCTTCGCTGAAGTTGAAATGCAGTGCTGCACATCCTGCTCTTCATAGGAGGACAGCACAAATGGCTCTTTATCTTCTCTATGGCAACTTTTTGAATATTTGAAAACTATCATAATGCCCGCAATTCCTTTTTCTCTCAAACAAACATGCCTTGTCCTTCTACTCATTCCTCACAAATTGCTTTCTGACTCACTTATAGTCTTTCTTACTTAACCTTGGACCTTCTCCAGTTTCTCTTATTTTTCTTTAAAAATGTGGTGCCCCAAACTGAACACAGTATTTCAGCTGAAGTTAAGCCATTCAGCTTTACTAAGCATAATTAAATAATCAGTCGATTGGCTTTAAACAGAGAGAGAACAATTTGCTTGTGATGGCTGGCCCACTCCCCTGGGAAACCTGATTCCAGCACCTCTCCCTTCTAGTGAATATTTTAGTATTTTAGTGGAACAGCTTCAGCAGGTAAGAATAAGAAAACCTTCTTCCTTCTTTCCCCCTTCCCCAACTTCTAAATAAAACAGATGGGTTTTAGGCATTTAACTACAGGAGGGGTTTCACACCTGTGAATTTTCCATGGACATAGGTGCCTCCATCCAGGTTGGAGCTAGGTGCTGAACTCACTTTGAGGGACTGGGCTGTCTTCAGCATTTTCTTTGAATGTGCTGCTGGGTTCTGTGAATCATGGTCTTAGGCATCTGACTCTCCTATGTATTGTATATGAAACCTGAGGACCTAACCCAGGGTTATGAATTCGACTGGGTGGCAGGGCAACCAAAAGTCAAGGCCTACATACCACTTGTAAATCTAGCTCTGTGATGAGGGAAAATCCCATGAGGAAATTGCTAATTGTATAACCAGGGTAGGGTTTAAGAGGCATGCAGTAAATTATGCTTGAGGCCAAACACTGAATGATGAGATTGAAAAAAAAAAAAATGTAGAAGAACTGCTTATTGAACAGGCAGCCTTAATTCTGATGTCTAATAACTTTTGAATATTTGACTTCACAACTTTATGCATGCTTTTATTGTATTATTTTTATGTAGCCTATAGTTGGATCTATCTATATACTTGTTCTTGTTTTATTGGATAGACCTGCAACTAATTTTTTAATCACATGGTTGGTCCACAACGAAAGCACAGGTTTTCCAAGTTACTTTTGATCCAGTCATTAGAAACCCCTTGTTTTCATAAGCTAACGAAATTCTGGTGCAATGAGTAGCATATCCCTTCTAAGCTGGTGACTATTGTT